ATAAAAGAGGGAACAGGGCTGGCTGAGTGGTGCGTTGGTTAGGAGTTGGCTTGGGACACCAGCTCTGCGCAGCAGGGCCCCGGCTCAGATCCCACATGAGAGCCAGTGACACTGCGCCCTCTACAGCTAAGATGGTGAACAACAGCTCGACCTGGAGCTGGGCTGCCTTGAGTCGCCAGCGACTGCGCAGCGTAGGCTGCAGTGGGACTGGCGGGCAGCGGGCATGAGCTTTCATGTAAGCTGCCGTCAGCGGCCATCCAATGGCTGGCGACCGATCTGCCTCACCCGGGAAGAGCACAATAATCACAATACCAACATGGGCCAGTGAAACAATATCCTCCATAACTAGACTTAAGAACAAAAGGACAGCAACTTGTCTGTTCCCCTCCCCCAACTCCCCAATAAAATCTTTAAAAAAGAGGGAACAGAAGACCAGTGGAATGCTTCCTAGTGCCATCTTTCTGTATTGAAGACGTTAGAAGAGCTAACTGTGCCCGTAATTATCACATGAAATAGTAGCTTTCACTTTGTAGTGAAACCCAGGCCATTCGAGTGTCCCCATTCACATCTTTATTCTGTCCCATGACAAGCAGAATGAGTAGATTTACACACACACACACCTGCTATGAACATTCCTGTGCAGCACATAGAATGGTTCTGGGTGAAGAGAAATAACATACCACTTAGGGACACTACAGTTTCCTTCCAACCCAGAGGTGTCCGATTCCAAACACACTGACCAACCCCTCCTAAATTCCACGATGAGGCAGCCCTGAGACAATGCCTCCCAGAGCTTTGAAAACTGGTAGGAAGAAGAGGTTCAGCCCCACACAGCATCTTGCACACTCAAAACAAGCTCCCACACAGGACACATTAAACGCCAGTGGATACCTCACTAGATGATATACGCTTGGCTGTCCTTCCTCCAGCCCTTTCTCCAAAATGTCCCCGAACTGAGACTTTGAACTGCTCCCATCACATGCAGTATTTTCTTTACAGTTCTATCAAGTCCTGATAATCCAGGTACCCACATTAAATTCATAATCCAGTTTCCTGACACTAAAAGTTAAACTTAGAAATAAATAACTGCTCGAATTCAATTTAAATATAACAATCGCTACTCCTTATTGAGCACTGTTCTGCATACTTTCCACTTATCAGTTTATGTAACACCCTCAGGAAAGCCAGTTTACAGGTGAGGACACATTCTCAGGTAAGGCGAGGTATTGGCCCTTAAGCAAAGCCTGGGGAGATATGCAACGAATGAAGCACAGTCTCTCCCTTTAAGGAGTTTACCACTTTGTATGGAAATGAAGGGAGCAATCTAACTCACAGTTTAGAATAAAATACCACAAGTTCCACATTTAGGGGACACCGGAGGACAGATTTGTTCATCCTGGCTGGATGCTTGAAGGCTTCTTGGAGGAAGTGTCCAAGTGGACAATGAGGACATAAATGGAAGGAGCTTTCCATGCCTCCACATCTGCCCCTCAGCTCCCAAAGCTGAAAGGCCTGTCTGTATATGCCCACCTGGTTCCCTCCTCCCCTGGTCTCTTCCTCTGTTTCATCTGCCACAGGCTTGTTTCCAAGAGAGGACCAGCCTAGCTCTGCCCAGACCTTTATTCCTTTGACCCACTCCTCCAACTGCTGCTGCCCTTGCAGTCCACCAGCAGGCACACATGGGAACTTTTCACCACACTCCCCTTTGCCACCTCCTCTAGTGCTTTCTTGGGAGAGAAACTGCGTCATGGCACTTGGTAGTACAAGGGATCCCTTTAAGGGAATGGAGTCCTTCTCGTTGGACTGACACAGGGACAACCCTTTCCTTACCTAAACCAAGAGGAAAGGGACTCCTGACCACCAGCAGCCATAGGAAAGGCCATTACTCCTCTACAGGCTTCTGAGAGTCATTTGCATCCAACCCCTCCTCACAAGTCAGCCCCACCAGTCCACAAGGGTCAGCGCCCCACCTCTCCCTCCTCAGCGCTTAAGGCTCTGCAGCAAGGGCTCAAACACGCAGTTTAGTATGGGTGACCTTGGCCAAGTAACTTAACCAATGTCAGTCCCACTTTCCTCATCTGTAATATGGGCTTTATAAAAACAACTCATTCTCAGAATTGTGAATCGGAACAAGATAGTGCATGGCAAGCATTTTACACAGTCTGACACGTAGTAAGCTAACAATGAATAGTAACAATAATGATATGGTGATGCTGGTGGTGGTGAAGTTGATGGCAGCATGAACTTGGGCTTGATTCGCGCTAAAGAGAAATACCCTTCCTTTCCCTCCGCCCCCACCCCCCACCCCAACACTGGGGCTGTGCCACATGGTGGAGACATGCATCATCCATCTGTGGGGTGAATGCAGGCTCTTCAGGCGCCGGCTTAAGAACCGTCGCGCCGGAACCCACCTGGAGGGTTGCGGGATAAAGGCGATTTTCTGATGGAGGAGGTCCAATAACCATAAACCTTCCCCCTCGTTCACACCCATTCTCCAGGTCTGGAAACAGACCAGTGGCAAAAGAACACAGCACTGCGCCTGCAGCATCACTCCCCGCAAGTAGCCAGGAGAGCCTCCACCTGGCCCCAGTCTCCGTCCTCCCAACTCTCCTCCAGGCGCAGGCGAAGCTGCGCTGCACTTGGTGGCTGAGATAACAGGTTGGCGAATCAGGCCTGGGAAGTCTCCCCGCTTTCCGGCGCAAATCCAACTCCCTCCTCCCAACGCAGGTGGGCAAACGACCCGCAACCTCTCCACAACTTTGTGTATTTCACCACCTCAGGGCGCATGGCCTCAATTTCCCCCTCTAAGCTGCGCTCGCCGGAGAAAAGCGGGAAATCGAGTTGGGGGGTGGGGGAATCCGCAGGCCGCTCCCCTTTTCTGGGCGCCTCCGGTAGGTGCGTCCCGTCTTACCTTGTCTGACGGCTTTAAAGGTGACGGCCTCCTTGCAGCTGTCGATGACTCCCAGCACGTCATAGCGGGGCAAGCCGGACACCCGGATCCCCTGCACCTCCAGAAGCAGCTCCCCCTCGCCCAGCCTAGGGCCCTCGCCGCCGCCGGGAAGCCCCGTCGCCTCGGCCGTTGCCACCGCTCCGACATAAGGAAACTCCCCGTTCTCCGCGCCCCCCAGCACCGTCACCCCCAGCTCTCCCTGGGGTCCCCGCTTCACGGTGCATTCGTGAACCTTGCTAGTCCAGTGGTTCTTCTTCTGGATCACTTTCGACATGACGAGTTACACCCCTCTTACCCGCCCCCCCAAAAAATAAAATGAGACAGGTGCCCCCCGCAGCACAACCCCCCAAGCCCTCGCTGGTTCATGGGAGAGACATCACCTCCCAAATAACGCCACGGGAGAGAGAAACTTGGTAGCCTCACTCCCCTGCACACACTCGCGCACTCAAGCCATCATAAAACAAACTTTCTGGGCTTCCCCGCGAGCCCTGCACAGGAGCCCACGAGCTTTGTTTGCATTCCGGTGCTTCTGGGTCCACGTTCCAGCGACCGACGTGCTCTCCCGGACCAGAGTCCACTCTACGCCGCTTGGGTTTTGGGTTTTTGTTTGTTTTTGGTTTTTTTTCCTTCCTTCCTTTCTTTCTTGCTTCTTAGAAATGCGGAATCTCCTCTTTACCTCCTGCCTGGCTCGCCTCTCCTCGCTGGCGAGCTGTTCCTGAGGGTGAGGGAAGCCCTTCCAGCCAGTTGCTGGGAGCCCTGGAGACGCGGTAGAGGAGCGGGGGTGGGGGAAACAGGAGGGAAGTGCCTGCGGCCCCTTTAAGCAGATACAAAGGCTCGGCTTGTTTTGTTACAGTTCATTCTATTCCGCGCCGCGGAGCGCAGCGGCCGGGAGAGAAACCGCACGCGCATGCGCCCCATGATTGCCAGCCGGCCAGCCCGCCCCACCCCTCCTTCCCGAAGGGACAGATTCCAATGTGCTTCCCGTTGGGTCCTAAAACCGACCATTCTGGAGAAGATAAGTTACACTCTTTCAGTCACCCTTCTTATTCCTCCTTTTCTTTCAGTGTCTTGGACGCAACAAATCCCTTTGGAGCTAGGGGGACGCGCACGTGTTTTACTCCAACTGTTCGCAACTTTTGAAACATGAGCAATCTGGATTTGGCATTTTAAAACCATTTTAAACCGGTCGGGGCTGGGGAGGCTCACACACTTAACCCTCGCGCTCACATTCACGCATACACGCATGCACTCAACGCCGGCCTAAGCCGCCTAATCGCCCTTGGCCAGTAAGTGGCCACGCGGTCGGTCACCCAGCCCGGCTTGTCCACCGCCCCCGCCCCCACTCCGCCGCATTTTCCTTTAGTGCCCCTGTGCGGGTCCCAGAGGCTGATGTCTGCCCCGCGCCTGCACTGAGCGGGCGGGCTCCGGTCCTGCAGTGGGGCTGGCCAGTGTCTCTGGGACCCTGGGGAGCGGGGCGGTGAGGGCCTCCTCGGTGCCCCAACTGGGATCCCTGTGAGCGTCGCCCGCTCCCACACACACTTACCCGTACCCTTAAACTTTGGGGCCAACGTTTTAGGACACAGAAAACTATAAGCGAGGGAAAGAAGCCAACAAGATGACAGGGGGTTCGGAGCTTCAACATAAAAGGGCTTTTTAACTGCTCTTCCAGCAAAGACTTCTGGAGTCAGTCATCTATCCCGGGCTCAAGTTCCGGGCTAAGCCGGGAAGCCCGTGGACCTCCCCCAGGGCCAGGAGATAAAGATCACCCTCGGGTCTGGGATCTGCACCCGCGTCCTGGCGCCCGCGAGGGCGTGGGCGAGGCAACCACCTTTGGAATTCGCAGCCTGGTGTCGGTGCCGCCTCCGGCGCCCCTCGGGGACCGCGGGTAGAGCAAGCGTTTGTCCTGCCTGGGTTTCGGAAGGAGCTAGGGGGCTGCCGAAGGAAAGAATACCCTGCACCGAGAAGGCCCCCCCCGCCAATACTCCCGAAATCCGCCTGGGCGGTAGAGCCTCCCAAGCAATTTTTTTTCCTCAGTCATTTATAACTTGTTTGTTCATCTTTGGTGACAGGAGAGATTCCAAGTGCTAAATAAGGGAGGTGAGTGGAAGGGACTCCGGAAGGATGGGATGCCACTGCGGCCAGGGCTGAGATCTGGCCTCTGGATTTAGGTTCCCACTGGTCCAATCCCTGTGTGACCTTGAATAAGCTCTGCGACCCTCAGAGCCTTAGTTTCTCCCCCAAGTGAGTAGAACAATACCTTACAAGGTTCTTGGGGGTATTACATAGGCGAACACTTGTAAAGTGCCCAGCTTGTAAAGTGAATACTTGTAAAATGACATATAATAAAAACTTGTAGCAGTAGTAGTAGTAGTAGTAATAGGAGTAGTAATATTTGGGAAGAGAATTAGGAAATCATTTGGGGTTTCATGTTAGATGATGATGATAATTCCTGCTCTCCTTTCTAAAGCTTAAAATATATAGGCATACATTTAAATATTTTTAAAGCACTGTTTGGAGAGTGCCATCTAAGCTAATAAAAATAAGAGAAAAATATTGCTGCTTCTCTCTTGGGATATCCAGAAGTGAAAATCCCCTTGCCTTGTAGTATTTGTGAAAGAAGGAAGTGGTCAGTTTTCCTTGGCTCTTCTTGGTGAGGGAAACTTCATCTCCATCCTCTTTTCGCAGAAGCAGTCAGTTTATCTCACACTTGACTGGATCAAAATGAGTGGGAGCTTCAAAACGTTTCTTCCCAATCACAAACAACAATCCAGCCCATCAGAATCCCAGGACTTTTAGGGTTCCCCTGAAGTGGGGCTGCTACATGACATTGAGGACCACAGGTCTAACATCTCGATTCCCGAGCATCAGAGACCCTTTTGAAGAATAAACCTATGGTCCACATCCTCCTATAGAGCTTAAGTTCCATGGGGCCAGGGAACTTTGGCAGTTGAGTTTACTGACGTATTCCCAGTTCCTACAACAGTTCCTGGTACCTAGTTAATGCACAAGTATTTGTTGAATGGATCTTCCCACAAAAATGCACAATTTTGCACACCACCTTAGAAATGGAGTCACTGATTCCCCTACAAATCACTAGTAAGCTTTACTTTGTATGTTACCCACCTGCCCACTCCATATTCTAGTAGTCTGATTGCCTGCCAAGAATTCCCCCACCTGCCTGGAATCTCTGGGCCCCTTCCTACCTCCCCATTCAACTCTGGCTCCCACCTGGAGAAATCCAAAGGATGGGCAAGACAAAGTGTTTTGTGATTCATTTCACTACAGCAGCACCATTTCCCTGCTCCAGGATTCCAGGTGTCCCGCAGCTGGGAAGGGGAAAGAACTTGGAATTCAGGGCACTTCAGATTTTAGATGTGGAATGACCTCAAGAAAAGAAGGGATACCTGAGGGCACAGGATGGAGAGACGTATAGAGCGATATTATATTCCAAGAACATAAATATTGGGTCGTCGGGAAAGTCATGATGTATTTTTCTATGTTTTTCAATGCAAAAATGCGTCATGACTTTCCCGATGACCCAATCATTTGAACCTCCAAAGCAGCTAAGACTACCAATTTCCAGACACTAAGTTTATGATGTTCCCTATCTCTCTCCTCCTCTGACCCCTTCTGTCTCCTCTCTTTCACCTGGTCCAGCTCCTGTGTCCCAGACTGGAAGCAACTTCAAGGCAGAAGTCATCTATCCTGTCCAACCTTTGAATCCTCAGTACCTAAACCCATGCATTGCGTGGAGTGGGCACCATATACATTTGTTGAAAGAAGACATGGATGAAGTGTGACATTAAACTGCATAATATATGACCTTTGCTGCAAAGCCTTTTTAGATTGGGTGGCTAGAACCAAGGTATTTATAGATTGTTTTCTTGAAAGAGCTCATAATGATCTCATTTTGAAGTAGATTTTTCTTGAAGAGATGTAAAGTGGGATCCTCATGTTCTGGCTTCTCTCACGTAGAATATGACTTTGATAATACCTTCCAAAGAGGAAAATAATGCTATAAAATACCTAACTTTGAGGCTTACCATGTGTGCCTGGATAGCTATGAGCATTATTTTATTTAATCATCACAATTTTGTGAAGTAGGTGTGACCTGATTTTACATGAATTACCTTGATTTTACAATTGAGGACAGTGAAGTTAGGGCAGTAAAGAAACTTGCTCTACAGCTTAGAAGTGGTAAAGCTAGGATGTGAACCCAGAGGCAAGACCCAAAACCCATGTTCAGAACCACTGCATTAAGATGTATTGTGGCCACCTGCCACTTAGTGTACTTGGGTAACAGCATTGTTTTTGGCTCCTGAGTCTGCCACATAGTGTGGACTCACTAATTAAGTCACCCTCCCATTTCTTTCCTTTAATCTGCAGGAATACAGTGTTCCACTCTGGAATCCAATCTCCTTTTCCCCATCTGCTCTGAAGATTGGATAATTTACTGAAATGTAAAGAGGATTAATTTGTAAACATTTCTAAAATGTTTGGAGATCTGTGGGCTGTTGGAGATCTGTGGGCTGTGGTACAGGTGATGTGCCAAACATCCTTATACTGTTATTGTGTTAGCATTTCAACAATGAACTCTTAATAAACACAGTAGATTCAGATGGGAACTAAACTGTAATGCAATAAACTCTGCACAAATTAAGATCTTATTTTCATATAGCTAGTTCCACTAAGGGGAAGGGGGAGAAAAACCACAAATATAAAATCTGCATGTCTTCTCTTTTTCCCAAATAGATTTCTTTCCAAAGTTTTCCAGTTGTGATTAAAGGAATTTGTAATTGCAGTCTAAAGTGGTATTTTACATCATTTTTCTGAAAATGTGAGGATGGGAAATAAGTTGGTCAGCTGTGATGCAAAGAACATACAACCTGGTTATCTTTTAATTTCTGAAAAATAACATCGAGAGGCATATGTTATAGATAACAGTACGAGTATAAATGCTTTGTACGTATTCAGTAAGGTAACTGACTCCAAACTGATGATTCAGAGCAACAGGGGAGGTTGAAGCCATTAATTCAGGTAGCAGGTAAATGACAGTGAGAGCCATTTTCCTAGTCGTCGCTTCCCAGTGGCACTTTTAGGATTCACTTGATAACTTGTTCTTTTCCTTACGGGGAGGCATTTGGGCAATTTCCTCTGACCATAGTAGTTCTCCTTTTAGTACTATCAGCTAAACAAGAATAAATAAAATTATAATTCTGGTGACCTTTGAAGACATCACATATGAACTATTATTTTAATACCCCAGAGAAGGAACTCCAGGAAGGAGAGTTTAATCCTGGCTAATGTTCTGGTTCACTTCTATGGGAAAAATAAGTATGGGTAACTGGAAGATTTGAAATTCGATGATAGTTCCCGAAACCCAAGAATTTATCATGCAAATCTCTCCTAAAATTTCTCCTAATGCTTCAGCTGTATAAAGCACTGAATATCCCAAATTAGCATGTTATCCTGCATAATTCTACTGAAAATACATCTGTTCATATTAATTTCCTTGAGAACAGAACATTTGCATTTTCCTGATTACAGAAATTTATATCTTTTATTCCATCTCCCACCAACTCTATGAAAATATAATAATCTGAACGTGGTAGATGCTTAAATAATACAAGATTTTGCTATTGAAGATGTTCACTCTCTTCTTCCTTATTGTATTGTATATCTTTAACAATGTTCTGCACCAAAACAGAACTGAAAGAGAGAGAAGGAAAAAACACATTGAAACAAGGGTGGAATGTTCATATTTTTAAAAATACTCTACTGAGGGCTGGCCAAGTGGCACGTTGGTTAAATGTTGGCTTGGGATGCAAGCTCTGAGCAGCAGGGCCCGGTTCGGATCCCACATTAGGGCCAGTGACGCTGCACCCTCTACAGCTAAGATGGTGAACAACAGGTCAACCTGGAGCCATGAGTCGCCAGGACGGCATAGTGGAGCTACAGTGGGCTCCCATAAGCTACAGTAAGTGGCCGGCAGCCAGCATGAGCTGCCAAGAGCCGCCGTGGGTGGCTGTCTAGTGGGCAGCAACCTATCTGCCTCACCTGGGAAGAGTGCAATGGTAATACCAACTTGGGCCAGTGAAGCGACATCCTCCACAACTAGACTGAAGAACAAAAAAGGACAGCAACTTGTCTGTTCCCCTTCCCCAATCCCCCAATGCTGTTCCCCTCCCCCAATTCTCCAATAAAATCTTTTTTAAAAAAATGCTCTACTGATACAAATTTTTACAGAACAATTTCAAAAACAGATAAGTTAAAAGGCAGCGTTAAATTAAGACATTCAAAATTCTGTTACCAATATTTAACCACTTTTTACATTGGGTGTAACTCCTCCTGGACTTTGGCTAATACAAATACACACACACACACACACACACACACACACACACACACTACCCTCTTAAGCACATATAGTGTTCTCTCTCTCGCTCTCCTTTTGGAATTTATAGATAATTTATGAAATAAAATAATCCTTTTTCACTCATCAATATATCATCAATTTCTTATTTGTAGTTATGGACCTATGTTTATCACTTTCAATAGCTTAACAATATTCCATTCTTTGAATGTTTCAAAATGTGTTTATCCAATGCCCTATTAATCATCATTTAGGATTCTGAATGAGGCTAAAGTAATTAGATTTTATTAGAATTTTTGGTTACCCATAATAGAAACCCAGTTGAATTACCTAAGCAAAAAAGGAAATGTATTACCCCATATAACTGGTAATACTAGGGGCAAAACTGGTTTTCACCATGGCTAGATGAAGAGGCTCAAGCGAAGCCCTCAGCTCGTCTGCTCTCTCTCTCTTTCTCTCTCTCTTCCTCTCTCCCTCCTGGTTTGCTCTGTTGCCCTCATCCTCTCCTACTACATACAGATTGGCCTTCTCCAAACATCCAGGAAAGATAGCCCCAAGCAGCTTACATCATCCAGGGTAGCCATGTCACAAGAAAGGAGATTTTCACTACCAGATTTAAAAAGCAATCAGAGAAAATTCAGTCTTTATTACAGCTTACAATTGTTGAGAGTAGAGGTAGAATTTGCCTATTTTTCAGTGGCTTTGACAATAAACACAAGTAAGGCACAAACATCATCAGCTGCCTGATCAAGCCTGGCAGAGTGTGTGTGGACCTGGGACAACTCAGGGAACCTCACCAATGTGGTCCCTCTGTAGGCTCTTATCATGGTCGCCTTTCCTACAGTTATAAGAATTCCAAGAATTCCAATGTAGTGAGAGTTTGATTTCAATCAAAGCTGCAGTGGTTGGTCCACATTTTAGTAGATATTTTGAAGATATTCTGAAGCTGGCAATATTGCAGGATTGAACCCTTACAAAGGAAGCCATCAATTGTTATACTTTAATACAGATGGCTTATTAAAATACATAAGATTGGTTTCAAATGTTCTGAAATGAATCTTAAGTTTCTCTGAGGCTACACTGAAAAAAAGAATTAAATATTCCAAGATGGCACATGACAGTGGTAGATTGTTTTCATTCATTGGTTAGTTCAACAGACGTTGATTAAATTCTTATTTTGTTGATTTCTACTAAGCATCGATAATACAAAACTAAGACACACTTTTTTTTTTTTTCTGGAAGAAGTACCCCAACTGGATCCTTGGACAAGAACACAGAGCAGTTCAATCATGTTTGGTAAATTCAATAACAGGGAGCATAAGGTGATCTTGGAGGACATTTTATTAGAGAGGATTGTAATTTGCAAACATGGCTTCAGAAAGTAAAGGTACCATGTTGGAATTTCTTGCCTCTTCCCTGTCTAATTTATTTTAATAGTATTTTAAGAAGTGAAAGACAAAGTCCTGTTTTATGATCCCATTATGGTACTCAAAGGTGTGTTTTATTGGAGCCATTCATAGAGTTCTCAGATGGTTCGAGTCACCCACAGTGTGAATATATGGTTCCATAAAGCACAACTCTGTCCTGCCACAAAGCTGATCCAGCAAACGCTATGTGGAGTTTGGAAAATGACTCAGGATAATTAAGCAATCCATAATCTGAGCAACCTTGCTCCTTGAACTGCACCAACTTGGGAAAATTATTCCTCACAAAATCTTGTAGCCAGATGAATGAGAACCCCCCCGCCCCCCCACACCCAAAATATATTATTTACTTCCCAGATTTAGTATGTTCCTAAAATTTTAAATTTATTTTTATAGACCTTCGCCCAGATGAGAAGAGGCTTACCGTAAAACCCAGAATGGTTAAGAACATCCCCCAGAAAGTTCATGCCCAAATTTAAAGTCTTTCTATTCTGAACATTCCTGACACTCCTGGCTGAGAAATTCAGCATGCCTGAGTTTGGGTACCCTAAGGACTTCACCTGCAGCAGGGAACTGCTGAATTAAACTAAGTGTTAGAAAACACTGCAGTTTTAATTATTAAATTAACACTTTACTTTAGTGAATGCACATGCTGGAATAGGCTTGGGAACGTTTCTGCTTCCCATCTCACAGCATCTGCATTTTTCAGATATTTGACCTTGATCTTTTGACCTCTCCTCTAGAATCCTGAGAGTGCTGGAAACACTCACAGCTGAGTGATGGGAGCAAAAACTAGACAGATAGCAATTCTTTTTTTCTTTTTCTTTTTTTACTTAAATCCTAGGTTACCCTGTTTTAAACTCGACCCAATTGCCCCCTCAGTTATTAATTTTATTTTAATACATCACCTTGTTATAACTTTACTTTTTGAATTGACACCACTAAAGTCTAAAACTATCAAAGCTATGTGATCCACTTGCTAAGGCAAGCTGGTGTTTCCTGACACTGCTCTCTAGATAGCTGAGATCCTTCTCTAGATTAGCATTTTCAAACTTTTTTGATTGCTGTTCACTATGAGAAATGCATTTGGTTTCATTACCCAACTCACATACACACCTACACACATATACATATGACTGAAACAAAAGTTTCATGAAACCACATTTGTTCTTCTGTGTGTGGTACACTATGCCAGGGGTTATGGCCCACAGCCAAATTCATTCTTTTTTATGACCAGTGAGCTAAGAATGATTTTATGTTTTCAAATGTTTGAAAAAACTCAAAATAACATTTATTTTGAGACATAGTTACAATATGTCATGCATTCTTTTTTTTTTTTTTTTTTTAGCTGAGCCATCCTGCCACCTGTTGGCAGCTCAGTGGCAGCTCAGCTCAGGCTGGGCATTGAACCGCTGTTGCTCAGAGCTCGCTCTGTTGAGCGAGCTCGTAACCAACTGAGCCACTCGGCCGCCCCCCATATTAAATCTTTACAATAATTTATCTTTGTCTTAATCAGACTCAGGACCAAAATAGAAATGCTGGGTAACATTTTTGAAGTGAGTGCTCACTGTGTCAGGTAAATGCTTTGGTAAATGTTTTAGATGATGCATTTATTTAAATCTCTCTGTGAGGCATGAAGTGTTAGTATTCCCATTTTACAGGGGAGGAAACAGAGACATGACAAGCCCGTGTAACTTGCACAGGGTCACACACCTAGGAAGTGGAAGTTGGGATTTGATCCTAGGCTCCTGGGTTTCTAGACCTGCGGTTTTGACTACGCAGCTTTGCAGCTTCTTGCCCACAACGTAAAACACAGACAGGCCCAATTCATATTTGGAGAATGAATAAATACAAGCATGAATGAATGAAGGACGCAGGGGTAGAATGACAGTCTCTCATGGATCCTGACCAAACACGGGAACATAGACACATTAGG